AAATCCCAATTCAGCAAAACACTTAAGCAAACACATACTTAAATCTTTTGGTGAGAAGTGGCTTGTTGAATCAAGTAAGAGTATTTTCTCTCTTTAACTCTGATGTATTTGAGTAACATACATAGCCAGGAATTATCTCTCCAATCCTTACTGTACTGGCATTTAGCAAGTATTCTGATAACTAGTGGAGCCCTCACATCTACTGGAAAAAATGTGCATAAGTTACAGCTGAAATGCTAACATTCCACTTTGCAAGCAAAACATTCCATAAAACAGAACATGTGTGAACATTAAAGCCTTCTATTTCCACTGTAACTTTTCTTCCCAGACTCCAGAACCTTAAATTATTTTGAAAGGGGGGTACCACATGTAGAAACCTCAGCAGATCTTTTTATTATCTGTAAATGTTACACGTTTCATCATTGAAAGAGCTGTCCCAAAATCTTTACACAGGATATTGAACTTAGTGCTACTAGAGGGAAAATGATCCATCTTCCCTATGCAGAAGGCATTACATCACAGAAGGGATGGAAACAGAGAGCTCTGAGGGACTGGGATAGGCAAACTTTCCTCCTTTTACAGGAAATGGGTGAAGCTTTGCTTGAAATTATTACTCAGACGTTTTGTGCTGTGAAGGAAATGTCTCCTGATAGCACAAGCTATTGGTTTCCTGTTGTGAACTAACAGTTTTGGCATAACTAAGAATGGACAGGAAGGGCAGAGGATTGGGGGGTCACTTGGAGATCCTTGTTGTAATGACAAGTCAACTGGAAGAAATGTTGGGGGGCAGAGAGGCTAAACTGAAAAGAAGAGGATCAGTTGCTGATTAATAGGATGTCACTGTGGAAACAAACAATACATCAAGGGCTACAAGGCTTGTCAGAAAAGCAGGTGTGACACTATTGTTCAAAAGGAAATACACTGGGGCAGAAATCCCTTTGTATGCTCCCTAATTAAGAGCCTGATTCAACAAAATATACATCCGGTTTCCACAGTGAGAGGCAATTTTTGGAAGTTTCCACAGATGCTGGATTTTTTTTCTTTTCAATGGGACCCGACGACCGAGGCACATGAAAATGCCATTTTCCAGTTGTGATATATAAATAGCACTGCTGTCAGTTTCCTCCTCACTTGATCACAGCTAGCCTATCAGGCTGTGCTCTCCCTCCCACATCTCCAGCCCCACCTACCACGCCTGGGCACTTTAAATTATCCTAGGTGGCCTCTTCTGCCACCATCTGCAGCGTGATAGGGCTAGAGTGGCTTCCTGCTGCTAGCACTCCACTGCTGCTGGCACATCCCTGTGGCCCCACAAGGGGGTGTATCTGCATGCTGCCCAGGCCCTGCATACCCTTGTGGCCAGTGTGAAGCGGTGGAGGTAGTGCCTTTAGGCAGCAGCGTAGGGAGACACCACCGCCCCCTCACTTGGGCACCTCCCAGGTAAGCACGGCACTCCCACCATCTCCCCCTCCCCCCTCCTGCACCCAAGCTCCTTCCTAGAGCCTGCACCCAGCATCAAAATTATGTCTCAGAGCTTTGGCAGAGGGAGTTTTTCTGGGAGGGGTGCAGGTGCTCAGCATTCTGAGCACCACCTAAATGTCTGCACATCTGCCATCCCTGATGGCAGGTGTATACTCAAGAGCAGCAATGGGCAGCCTAGGCTCGTCAGTGGATCCTTCATCTCAGTGGGCCTCACGCTTGTCATAACCAAGATGGGCTCCCGAGCGAGGGTTGTTTTGCTGACTGTGTTTGCGTACCTAGAATTTAGAATTGGACCATAGCAGCACTTTAATTGGCTCCAGAGGGAGCCTATCACTCTCACAGTCAACGTTGTTTGCAAATAGCACACACCTCACTTCATACGCCCTTGTGTGTCATTTTCATAATACTCCATGCACAGAATCCAGGGGGAATCAGGCAGCCCTGTCTGAGTGCAATAATGAACAAAATGTCTCATGGGCCACACGTAGAAACCCAATGCGATGCCTGCAGCCCAGGAACCACAGGTTGCCCACCACTGCTCCAGGGCTTTATTAGTCCTTTTGCAGCAATGTAGCTTGTACAAATAAGTCCCAGTACAGGGGCCACTTCTCCCTTTTGGGACTAGTCTTGGTCCAGTGAAGCCATTGGAATACTGCTTATAGCGGGGGGTTCCCAAACTTTTTGACACGGGGACCAGTAAACCCATTCACAAGCTTTTGGAGGACCGGTCATATTCATTTGCATATTCAATAAGCAAATGATGAATATTCAAATAAGTTGTTTCTGGTCCTCCCAAAGCCTCCAGTGCCAAAGTTAGCAAAGCTTTTGATACTATTCTTGCCAGCAAGTTAAGGGACTATGGATTGGATAAATGGACTGTAAGATGGATAGAAAGCTGGCAAGATCAGGGTTTCCCAAACTTTTTTTCAGTACTGTCTTTTGCAGCCCAAAACTATAAATGCATATTAAAAAAAAAGAATGAAAAATGAATAAATTTTCAGTGTTTCACCTGGCTGCATCCTCCACCCAGCCTGGGCCAGGGCTTGGGTGACCCGGCGCCACAAAGCACTTCCGGAGGTGGGAGCAGGAGCAGATTGGGAGTAAGGTATCTGGCTAAGAGGGAGGGTGCAAGAAAGGGTAGGGTTGCCAGGTGTCCGGTTTTGTACTGGACAGGCCGGTATTTGAAGGTTTTGTCTGGGAAAGAAATTGAGACATTACCAGACATATAAAATGCCTGGTATTTTCTAATTAGGTACATTTTATTATAATTAGGTGTATTAGTCCTTAGCTGCCTGGCTCGTAGATGTGTTCATGCTGTCTGAGTGTGTCTACCTGCCAGGCAGTTCGTAACTACTCCAGGGAAGGTATGTAGGGGAAGGAGGAAAAATGGAATCCCCGGCCAGACTCACTCGTCTGCCAGGGTCTGTATGTGCCCAGTTCAGTCCCACTCCCCCGCTTTACTCTTCCCGATCTCCCCAGTCCAGCCCTGCTTCTGGCAGCTGATTCTCCCATCCTCCTGCTCCTGATCTCCCCCGGGCAGCTCTCCCTCCTCCCATGCAGCCCTGGTTCCGCCGCCTGCCCTCCTCCATCAGCCCTGCTACCCCCATCCAGCCCTGCTTCCGACAGCTGATTCTCCCGTCCTCCTCCTCCTGATCTCCCTTGGCCAGCTCCCCCTTCCCCTGTGCAGCCCTGGTTCCACCGCCTACCCTCTTCGACCTCCGCCGCCGGACAGCCCCGCTGCCCCCAACTCTGCTTCCGCTGCCCGCCCGCCCACATGCCCCGATCTCTACTCGACAGCCCCACTCTCCCAGTCCTACTTTTGCCACCCACATCTCTGCGGGACAGCCCCGCTTCCCCCAGCTCGCCCTGCTTCCGCTACCTGCCCCGATCTCTGTGGGACAGACCCGCCGCTCCCAGCCCTGCTTTGGCCGCCCACCCACCTGCCCGGATCTCCACCGGGACAGCCCCGCTACCCCCAGCCTTGCTTTTGCCACCCGCCTGCCCGGATCTCTGCGGGACAGCCCCGCCACTCCCGGCCCTGCTTTCACTGCCTGCCCGGATCTCCACTGGACAGCCCCACTGTCCCCAGCACTGCTTCCCGGGGGCCGGTTCCTCCCCAGCCTGTCCCACTCAGCTCCACTCCTGGCAGCCATGCTGAGGCCCAGTATTTTTTTCCCGCAGCCCAGTACCGGGCCACGGCCCATAGTTTGGGAAAATGCTGGCTTATAGGAATGAGAGCTGAGGCCTCCCACAGTACTGCACTTTAATTAAACAACAAGTAAGGGACGTAAAATCAGGAAACATTTTCTCAATGTACAACTTTAAATCAAACCATTTTTTAAATAACTGAGCAAATTCTCTTCCATAAAATAAATTTGCCCAGTTTGTCAGACGTACTCGGTAGTCAAAAATGTCATCCTTGTGAATATATTATTTTGATTGTATGGAAACTCAGTTATAGAAAATGACCAATTTCACAGAATTAAAATGAATCAAAAGAGCTAATCCATGTTTGCTGACACTTACATGAACTTTCCTGAAACATTTTTGTTGTTTTTTATGGTGCCAAATGCACAACAGCTTATAAAAATGTGCCTCCACTTTCCTTTTTAAAGACACATTTACAAAATCCATGTGCCACAACATTTCTGCTTTTGCTCTTAAAAAAAATTACAAACCTCTGTCATCTTTGAATCATGCTTTTTCTAAAAAAACCATCTCCTTTTAAATATTGTTTCCATTTGAGACTGCCAGCATTTCCATGGAAACCCCCAAAAATAAAGACTTTCCCAGCCTTGTGAGAACACACCTGCAAGAACCAGAATCACATTTAGCCTTTGGCCTGTCAAATGTGACTCTCCTTTACTTTGGTGTCACCTAAGGTCATTTGTTTTTACACTATATGTGGATATGTTTTCTCAAAGTTTGCTGAAAGTATATATTAATTTAAAAAGGATATCATTTGAAATCTTGCCATTGAGTAGTAACAAATGTTTTTGCTAGCCAACTCCTCTCTCTCAAATGTTACTTCATTCTCTTTTTTAGGGAAAACAAACAGAAGGAATTGCTCTAAAAGACTGTAGGCCTCAAGTTTTCAGTCCTGAGATAACAGAACAAAGGATCGCTAGAAATAAGAATTCTCTGTTTAGACTTTTTAAAATTGCTAATCTTGTACATATACATTTTTAGATAGAAAGCCAAATTTTCAGCATTCCAATTTTAAATTTTTCATGCCCAACCACTTTTGCCATGTCATTGCCCCATTCTTAAAGAAAATACGACTTTAAGATGTGCCTACTTTTTTCCCCAACTACAGTCATCAATTGTGGATAAAAATTGGATTCACAATCAGAGGCAGGCTAAAAAATTTCCCCTGGGGGTTTTATTTATTTGGTTAATACAGAGATACAATATCTGAGTTTAAAAAGAAACTTGGGGATTCTGCTCCCCTTTTTTAGATATGTGAACTGTACTGTTTTCTGTTAAATCTAACCTATTGGTTTTTACATATTTCTAAGGGTATTCTGTCAGTACTACAGCACTAAGGAGCAACCTTACATCCACCAAACTTGTAAATGAGGAAAGTGGAGAGACTTCTTGCTAAGGAAACAGACTTCAAACATATCTTGCACAGTGAGTTAAAAAAAAAAAAAGAAAGAAAAGAAAAGTGTTCAATAAGAGTCTCTAGGTGTATTTCTTAAATGAACTGAATGCAGCCTTGTCCACATCTCATTTGTTTTCCACAAATATTCTAACAAGTGACTTCGGTGTCAAGATTACTTACGAATACCTTTTCTCATATGGAATCATGGAGATTCATGAATAATGTACTGAAGGCACTGGAATGTTTTGTGAAGTAAGGCACTGTTCAATCTAAATCAGGATATTAACAGCTAGCTGCCTTTAAATTAAAATTTAAGCATAGGTCACAACTCAAATTTTGATCTCAGACATTTCCAAACTGTATCAAATGCAACAAAACAGAACTAAAATTTTGAATGCCAGATATAATCAATGGCTGATAAATAATCTACAGAATCAGAATTATTTGGTGAATAATTTCAAATAATAAATAGACTCAAGGAAATCTTAAGGTACTTGTGGGACAACTGACAAGCAGAAAAAGATGCTCAATTCAACAGTTACAATTGTTATTTATTCACTCTTATATACTTCAGTAACCAAGGGTTATTTTCTGAATGTTTGATCTGATTGAATGTATTCTGAACATAAATTTACACATAGACCTGTTTGTGATACATCCATGTACAGCCTACTGTTACGGATAAGAGAGAAAAGGTGAGTGAGGTAGTATCCTTACTGTTGGCAAAAGGGACAAGCTTTGAAATAGGGAACGAGAATGTCCAAGGTAAATACAAGGGGGGAGAGACTTAAGCATATGGGATTCATCGTACACAAGTTGCCTACTTAAAATGAAGTGGACAATTAACATTTCTGCAGTCATAGGATAATGAAGGGTTTGTAAGTAGCAGGGTTTGTTGCAAATTGTTGTAATTGGTCATAAAACCAGTATCTGTTAAATCCACAGCTTTTAGTGTCCAGCAGAGCTATGAATGTAAGTTCCCATGTTTGTGTCTTGAAGGTGTTGTGTAGGTTTCCTTTGAGGATGAGGAATGAGAGATTAGATATGACATTATTGATTTGTAAGAAGTGTTTGCCATTGGGTGATATGGTGTTTTTGACATATCATTTTTACAACACATCTTTCAAGATCTGTAAATCCTATACATGCCTATCACACAATAGGCGGTATATCTCATCCAGTGCATCAAATGCCCCAACAACTACATGGGTGAAATCAGACAACCGCAATGTTCTTGAATGAACTCTCACAAAAAATGAGAAAAGGGGTTTTTTGACCATCACCCATCTGAGAACACTTCACTCAGCATCCAACCTTCATAATACCTTCAAGTGGTGAGATTAGGAACTTAGGCCTGGTCTACACTAGAAATTGAAGTCAGTTTAGCTACATCACCCACACATGTGAAAAAAAAAAATCTAACTTTAAACCAGTTAAGAAACTGACCTAGATCCCAGTGTAAGCTGTTCTAGGTATACAGAAGAATTCTCTAAGCTCTTGGGCAGGTGGATTACCTATGCCGATGGCAGAACCCCTCCTGTCAGCATAGCTCGTGTCTACACCAGGGCAGCTGGCATACATGCCAGGAAGATGGAGGGCAGCTCTATGCCCCCAGAAGGGATGTTGGCTTCAGGCAGAAGAGGTAGGGCTGGGACTAACCTCCCCAGGTCCTTCAGCACTGCCTGGAGCTCCGGTCACCACTGCTCTGATGGTAGCAGCAACGTTGGACAGGAGTCTCAGGCCTTTTTAAATTGTCAGGCCCCAGGGCAATTGTTCCTTTTTCCCCAGTGTCAGTGGGCCTGGTCTACAGCAGTGCAGCTGTGCCATGAAATAGCTTTTTAAGTGTAGAAAAGCCCTTAAATTCATAACTGCTGGACACTAAAAATCATGGACTCATGAGCCATTGATTTTAAGGCCCATTATAACAATCTGTAAAACACCCTCCTCCGTCTAACCCTCCCGCTTCTAACTTTCCATTTTCCTATGACTACAGGGATGTTAATTGCCCACTTCATTTTAAGCAGTCTCCTATAGCCTGTGAACCTGTTATATCGAACAATCTGTTCTCCCTTGTAAGTCGCTTCCAATAGCTTCACCAGACTTCAGGAAGAGTTTTGTGAAGCTTGGAAAGCTTGTCTTTTCAACCAATTGATGTTGGTCCAATAAAAGATATGACCTCATGTGGCTTGTATCTTACATCTCTCAACACAGCTACAATGCTACTGCAAACAACTCGTCAGTCTCAAGTGTGCTGTTGTACCATCTCAGATGGACTGCAGCAGAGCTAGACTTGTCTGGTACTCACATCAGAGATCATAGAAAATACAAGTTGATGCACAAAATGATGTTGATAAGTGATTGTTCTCGTCCATCCTCCCTGTTGAAGGAAAAGGTCCAAGTAGGGATTGTTGAATGTTGGAAGTAAGTGCGTGGTTACGCAGGTGGTGTTGGAGAAAGGGCTTTGGTTCCTTTGACCATGGGATGTTGTGCCGGGGACAAGGATTGCTAGGAAGGGAAGGGATCCACATAATGAAGAGGGGGAAGAGTATCCTCACAGGCAGACTTGCAAACCTAGTGAGGAAGGCTTGAACTAGGTTCGTCAGGGGACGATGATCTAAGCCCTGAGGTAAATGGGGAAGTAGGATACAGGAAGAAACAAGCAACAAAGGAGGACTCCTGATTTGTATGGAGAAGGTAGCGCAATCAGCTAATTATCTAAGGTGTTTGTACATGAATGCAAGAAACCTGGGAAACAAACAGGAACAACTAGAAGCACTGGCACAGTCAAAGAACTAGGAGGTGAATGGAAGAAAGGACACTCGGTGGGATGACTCGCATGACCGGAACATTGTCATGGAAGGGTATAAACTGTTCAGGAAGGACAGGCAGGAGAGAAAAAGAGGAGTTGCACTGTATGTAAGAGAGCAGAATGATTGCTTAGTGCTCCATTATATAGAGGGAACAAAGCCTATTGAGAGTCTTTGGGTTAAGTTTAGAGGTGGGAACACCAGAGGTGATCTGGTTGATGTCTGCTATAGACGTCCAGGTCAGGTGGATGAGGGAGATGTGGCTTTCTTCAGACAACTAAGAGAATCTTCCACATCACAGGCTCTAGTACTCATAGGGGACTTTAATCATCATGACATCTACTGGGAGACCAATACAGCAGTACACAGAAAATCCAGGAAATTTTTGGAGAATGTTGGGGATAACTTCCTGGTACAAGTGCCAAGGGACATGCACAGCTTGACCTGCTGTTCATAAACAGGGAGGAACTAGTAGGGGAAGTAGATGTGGGTGGCAACCTGAGAAGCGGTGATCATGAGACAGTCGATTTCAGGATCCTGACAAAAGGAAGAGAGTGGAGCAGCAAAATACACACTCTGGACTTCAGAAGAGCACTTTGATTCCCTCAGAAAACTGATGGCCAGGATCCCTTGGGATGCTTACATGAGGGGAAAAGGAGTCCAGGAGAACTGGAAGTATTTTAAAGAAGCCTTATTGAAGGCACAGGAACAAACCTTACAAGAAGTGGAAACTTGGACAGATGACATGGGAGGAGTTATACCATAAAATTGCGAGTATAGTATGCACCTATGTATAATGCGCACCTGCCTTTTAAATGTCAGAATTCTGGAATAAACTGAACTCTTATCTAGACTGCACATCCCCATTATACTCGTGATTTTACGGTATATATAGGAAGGAAGGGGCTTGCGCCTGCCACGGGAGCCCCCTGCCCAGCTGAGCTCGCGCTGAGACTGGGCAGGCAGCGAGCCAGGGCGCTGCAACCTGCTGGCACCGCTGGCTCCTCGCCTCGCCTGCCATGGGGGCCCTCTGCCCAGCTGCCCACTGAGCTTGCTGAACCACCCGCCCCACCTAGATAGCTGCCCGTATGCTGTGCCGAAACCGAGCAAGCAGCGAGCCAGGGCGCTGTAGCCTGGCTGCGCCCCAGGCTCCTCACCTAGTCTGGGAGCCTGGTGGGGCTTCGCGCGGCAGCTGGAAAATTTCTGTGCAGAGGAGAGGGTGAGTTTAAAACTTTAACAGAAAACCTCATATGTATAATGCGCACCCCGTCTTTGAAACTAAAAAAAACGGGGAAAAAAGTATGCATTATACTCGTGATTTTATGATAAATTAGGGATGTTCAGTAACGATTAATTTGCTAGTCGAGTAGTTGATGGAATTTCCATCGACTACTTGATTAGTCGATAAGCACTGCCATGTTCTGCCTTCAATGTGAATTTCAAAGTTGGAACACTGCATGGAGCCCAGGAAGTCCCACCGACTCCAGGCTCCACACTGGCACTTCTGCTTTGAAATGCACAAGAGCCCCAGTGGGGGACTCAGAGTCCCGTACTGGCCCCAGGCTCCTCTTTGAAATGCACAAGAGCCCCTGCTGATAGATATGTTGGAGAGTAGGGATAGGGTCCAGAGTGACCTAGACAAATTAGACGACTGGGCCAAAAAGAAATCTGATGAGAATCAACAAGGACAAGTGCAGAGTCCTGCACTTGGGATGGAGAATCCCAAGCACTGTTATGGGCTGGAGACCAACTGGCTAAATAGCAGTTCAGCAGAAAAGGATCTGGGGAGTACAGTGGACAAGAAGCTGGATAGGAGTCAGTGTGCTCATGTAGCCAAGAAGGCTAATGGCATATTAGGGTGCATTAGGAGGAGTATTTCCAGCAGATCTAGAGAAGTTATTATTTCCCTTTATTTGGCATTTGTCAGAACATATCTGGAGTTCTGGACCTTCCACTAGAAAGGATGTGGACACATTGGAGAGGGTCCAGCGGAAAGCAACCAAAATGATTAGGGGGCTGAAGCACATGAGCTATGAGGAGAGGCTGAGGGATTTGGGCTTATTTAGTCTGCAGAAGAGAAGAGTGAGGTGGGTTTTGATTGCTGCCTTCAAGTTCCTGAAGGGAGGTTCCAAAGAGGAGGGAGAGAGGCTGTTCTCAGTGGTGACGGATGGCAGAACGAGGAGCAATGGTCTCAAGTTACAGTGGGGGTGGTGTAGGTTGGA